TTTGATCCACCTTCATTGTTTTTGAGAAAGCATTTGATCCACCTTCATCATCACAAAACACCATATTCTTCACTTCTCTTTGGCTAAAGAAAATTTTCCAAACCCTTCGAGTTAATATGGCGGACCTTGTTCTTGGTCCTATTGTAGATGCCACTGTGTCCAAGGTGATTGCTCTTGCTTCAGAGCAGCTCAATTTGGCCTTGGGATGGAGGCAAGACCTGGAAAGGTTTTGCGACATGATGAAGATAGTGGGAGGTGTGTTGCAGGACGCTGATGAGAGGCATGTTGCCGGCCACTCTCACCTGAAAGCTTGGCTTGAGAGGCTTCGAGAGGTTGCTGATGAGGCTGATGATGTGTTCGAGGAGATCCGTTACGAAAATCTGCGGCGTCGGGTAGCAGAACTGAAGCCCAACTGGAAAAAGGTTAGCTACTTCTTTACTCTGTCTAATCCTCTGGTGTTTCGCATGAGGATGGCTAATAGAGTTAAGAAGTTAAATGCATATCTTGATGATATTGATGACAAGGCCAACCGGTTGGGGCTGCAAAACAAACTTGTCAACACTAGTGCTCCTGAACCTAGAGTAAACCAGCAGACCCACTCTTTTCTAGACCAAGAAGTTTTTGGAAGAAATGAAGATGTTGACCAAATAGTTAGCCTGTTAATTGACTCTGGTAATCAGGAGGTCCTCTCTGTCATTTCTATAGTGGGTATGGCAGGCCTTGGCAAAACTACTTTAGCCAAAAAAGTGTGTGCAAATGATAAAATACGTGAATATTTTGGAGAAAATATCATGTGGGTTTGTGTGTCTGAAATTTTTGATGTCCATAGAATTTTAGGGGAAATGTTGGAGTCTCTTACTGGTAGTCGCTGTAAAAATGAAAACAGAGATACTCTGCTTCGGAAAATAGGAGAAGAGTTGGTGAAAAAGGAGGAAAAGAAAGGGGGGGAAGAGGAGGAAAAGAATGAGGGGAAAAACTATCTTCTCATACTAGATGATGTGTGGAGTGAGAAGAGTGGGAACTGGGATGAGTTAAGGAGTTGTTTGTTGGGAATATGTAGAAAGGCTGGAAATAGAGTAGTCGTGACAACTCGAAATAGAAATGTTGCATCAATAATGGGTTCCAAATACATACATGATCTTAAGCAACTACAAGTTGGTCACTGTTGGTCTATAATCAAACAGAGAGCATTTGGAGAGGATGCTATGCCCCCAAAATTGGAAGAAATTGGATTTGGTATTGCTGAAAAATGTGGAGGTGTTCCATTAGTTGCAAATGTTATAGGTGGAACTTTGTACAATAGAAGGGATGAAAATGACTGGTTGTCAGTTAAGGAGAAGATTAATGTATGGGGTTCACTTGAAGATCAACATCACAGGATCAGGGATGTCTTGCAATTGAGTTTTGAACGGTTGCCAAAACCAGCTTTGAAGCAATGTTTTGCATTTTGTTCTATTTTCCCCAAGGATTTTGTCATTGTGAAGGAGAAGCTAATTCAACTATGGATGGCTGAAGGCTTTCTCCAATCTTCTAAAGAAAGTTCCATGGAGGAAATGGGTGACAAGTATTTCAATTGCTTCTTATCATATTCCCTTTTTCAAGAGGAAGCAAGGGATTCTTTCCACAATGTTAAATCTTGCAAAATTCATGATCTAATTCATGATTTTGCACAGTCCATTTATTCTGATACCTTGATTATTGAGGAGTCGTCTTCCAACAATATGCCTCATCAAGCTCGGCACTTGAATCTCAAATTTGGCAAAGAAAAGTTGCAAATAAAGTTAGCAGATGTTGCCGAAAAGTTACAGACTTTGTTTTCAAAGCAAGGTTTTCCCACTAGTTTGCAGGGAAACTTTAAAAGGTTACGGGCTCTCAGTGTTAGTGGTGCTGATGATGGTGAACCATTACCATCATGTTTTGGAAACCTGAAAAGTTTGAGATACTTGGACATTTCAGGAACTCCAATAAGACAATTGCCCAAGTTCATCACCAAGATGTATAATTTGCAAACATTTAGATTCAACAACTGCAAATCTCTGAAAATGCCTCCAGATGGAATAGGCCATTTAATGAACTTGAGGCATATTTACTTTGATGATGAAGACCATATGCCTGCACACATTGGTAGACTGACTAGCCTTCAAACATTGCAAAAGTTCTTTGTGGGTGAGAAAAGGGGACAGAAGATTGAAGAACTAGGAAAGTTAAGCCAACTCAGAGGAGGATTAGAGATCTATAATCTCGAGTGTGTCAAAGACAAATCAGAAGCCCAGAGAGCTAGATTAAAGGAGAAGGCAGTTTTAATGTTGCAATTAATTTGGGATGAAGAAGGCAATCATGATAAAGATGAAGATGTTCTAGAAGGCCTCCAACCTCCCTCAAATCTG